TGCTAAATGTATGTATAGCAATATTTTGTAATGAGTTATGTGCGTTTAAGTGATTTTCGGGAGGGAACCTTGCATGGGAGCTATGACCAATGATGGACCGATCGAAAAAAAACTTTCACAGTAATATTTCTGTGCATATGAGCAATACTTATTTCAAATTTTATATGGATATCTTAATTTAGTAATGAGTTATGCGCGTTTAAATGATTTAAGGGAAGGGTCCTTGTATGGGAGCTATGACTAATTATGGACTGATCGGAAAAAAATTTCACAGTAATATTTCTGTGCATATGAGCAATACTTATTCGAAATTTTATATGGATATCTTAATTTAGTAATGAGTTATGTGTGTTTAAGTGATTTTCGGGAGGGGACCTTGTATGGGAGCTATGTCCAATTATGGACCCATTCAGAAAATTTTTTCTCTCAATGAATTCAATTGACATAAGATTTTATGTTGTAAAACTTTTGTGAAGATATCAGCATTCTGACGGAAGTTATTAACAAAAAATTAATTTTCCGGGAATATGTACTTTTTATGGGAGGTATATGAAATTATGGACCGATTCTGGCAATTTTCAGTAGGAGTCAAGATACTGTGTAGAAACGAACGTATGATGACATTCATGAAATTATCTTGCATAGTTTTCGAGAAAATTACATCAGAATGTATAAAAAATGCTTATTTTTTTTGGAGTTGTTTTAAATTTTGATTCACAACTTTTCCCTATGTGAACCGATTTTGCTCATTTTCAACACCAAACTGCACCGAATAATAGTGAATATTTTTGCAGAATTTCGTTAATTTCCATTGCTTCGTTTTAAAGTGAGCGTGTTTTACACAGACAGACGGACGGACAGACGGACAGACGGACATAGCTAAATCGACTCAGAATTTCATAAGGACCCAGAATATATATACTTTGTTGTGTCTCAGATGAATATTTCTTGGTGTTACACACGGAATGACAAACTTATATATACCCTCTATCACCACTGATGGTGGTGGAGGGTTTAAAAAACAACCAACAACACTGTAGCTTTTTTATACCCTCCACATAGTTCAAGGACTGGGGGGGTTTATATCCGGTTCGAAGGACCAAAATGTTACCTTGAAATATTTCCTCGAAAATATCGGGTTAAGAAAAATAAAAACAAAATTAGTTTTATTTTAAAAAATATAAAAATGGGGTTTTATTAGGGTTTTTCTCGGGTTTTAATTTGGGGTTTTGTACGTACCGTACTCTTCGGGGTTACAAAAGTAAGTGATCATTACAATTTTAAAGAAAGAGAGAAAGAGATTGAGAGGGTAAAAAGCGCCAAAGAATTTAAAACATAGAATGGCCAGTGAACAGTAACGGACCATATACACTGTGGGTATAAACACAATTTGCGTCAATTTTCTTTCAAATGTTCACATGGGTGGGAACATATCCCGCATAAACGAATTTTAGTATTTATTCTATATAAGTGTGCCCAAAATATTTATATTGATGGTTCGAAAAAATTTAAGTGAAAGGATGCCTATAGTTCCTTCCAGACATACAGGATGACACTATGAAAATTTTTAGGAAATCGCTACATACATACATATATACATACAAACAAACATACATACATACATACATATGTACATACATACATACAAACAACATACACACATACATACATACATACATACATACATAATACATACAGCAAGAAAGACAGAAAGAAAGACAACAGAAGACAGACAGACAGACAGAAGACAGACAGAAGAAGAAAGAAGAAGACAGAAGACACGAAAGACAGACAGAAGAAAGACAAGAAGACAGAAGACAGACAGAAAGAACAGACAGACAGACAGACAGAAAGACAGAAAGACAGACAGACAGACAGAACAGACAGACAGACAGACAGACAGACAGACAGACAGGACAGACAGAACAGACAGACAGACATACAGACAGACAGACAGACAGAACAGACAGACAGACAGACAGAAACAGACAGGACAGACAGACAGACAGACAGACAGACAGACAGACAGACAGACAGACAGAAGACAGACAGAACAGACAGACAGACAGACATACAGACATACATACATACATACATACATACTACATACATACATACATACATACATACATACATAAACTACATACATACATACATACATACATACATACATACATACATACATACATACATACATAAACATTTCTGTATATAGCAGCTATATTTCAGTACATTTTGGTACCTATATCGTAATTTAGTAATAAGTAATGTGTGTTTTAGTGATTTTCGGATGGGAGCCCTGTATGGGATCGATCGCTCCCATTTTATGAACCGATCGTGATAAAATCTTGAAATATAATACTTCTGCCAAATTTTGTATCAATAGCCCTATTTGGTAATGAGTAATGTGCGTTTAAGAGATTTTCGTAAGAGGACCTTGTATGGGAGTTATGACCAATTATGGTCCCATTGTATAAAATTTTAAAAAACGTTTCTGTATACAAGGGTAATCAAATTTTGAATGAATAACATTATGTATTTGATAATGAGTTATGTACGTTTAAATGATTTTCTGAAGGGGACCTTATATGGGAGCTATGACCAATTATCGACCGATCCTGAAATTTGAATAAATTCTACTGACATAAAACTTTAATTTGAAAAGTTTTGTGAAGATATCGACATTCAAACGGAAGTTATTAACAAACAAGTTAGAGTACTATATTCGGCTATGCTGAATCTTAAATACCCTCCACCAGCAACCTACTTTTTATTAAAACCCATTTAACTATCTAATTTTTAGATAACTTGACAAAATTTTTGTTTCCGTAGTGAGGATACTAACATTTATGCATATGTGGAACTAATTTTGATTAGGTTCACAAAATTTTATATTAATAGGCCAGTTGCAAACATTTTTTATATAACTATTTATCTATACACAAACTTACTCATGTCGAATATTATCTGGAAATAATCATTTAATAATGAATTAAGTGGTATTAAGTGATTTTCAGAAGTAAAATTCCTTACAACGATTAATATATACAAAATACACATTTATGTCGAATTTTATCCCGATGACTTTGGTTGTTAATGTGCGTTTAAGTAATTTTCAGAAATTATTCTTATATGGGAGTTGTGACCAATTGTGGACCGATCAAGAAAAAATTTCGTATAATGATTTATATGCAAAAAGAATTCAAATCGAATATTAATCCAATAGATTTATTAATTAATAAAATATGTGCGTTTAAGTGTTTTTCGGAAGTGGACTTTAATAGGAGCTATGCTCAATTACGGGTTTCTCCAGAAAAATTTCGAAGAGTGATTCATGAGTATGTACACAAAACATATTTGTGTCGAATTTTATCAATATAGCTTTATTTGACAATGAAATATGTGAGTTTAAATGATTTTCGGAAGAGGGCCTTATATGGGAGCTGTGACCAATAATGGACCGATCCGGGGAAAAATTGGTAGAATGATTTATATGTACACAAAACATATTCAAGTTTTATTTATCAATGATACAGCTTTATTTATAAATAAAACATATGCGTTTAGGTGATTTTCGGAAGTGGGCCTTATATGGGAGCTATGACTATTAATGGACCGATCCGTAAAAAATTTGGTAGAATGATTTGTATGTACACAAAACATATTCAGCTCGAATTTTAACACAAAAGCTTTATTTGTCACTCAAATATGTACGTTTAGGTGATTTTTGGAAGTGGACCCTTTATGGGAGCTATGACCAGTTGTGGACCGACATAGATCTACGTTGGTAGTATGATTTCTATTCATATTATATTTGTAATGTACAAAATTTTGTGTTGATACCGAGTTATTAGCGATAAACTAATATCTGGGAATATACACTTTTGTATGGGGGCTATGGGAAATATTGAATCAATTGTTATGAGTTTGAACATACTTGATCCCTGCCCCATACAAATAATGTGCGATAAAATTTATCGAAATATCGTTGGTAGTTTCTAAGAAAACTACTTAAGAATTGGAAAAAAACGTTTTTTTCGAGGTAGTCTGAAATTTTTACTCATAACTTTTTACGTCGTGAACCGATTTTACTGATTTTCAATACTAAACTGTACCGGATAATAAAGAATGTTTTGGGTGAATTTCGTGAATTTCTATTGCTTAGTTTTAACGTGAGCGTGTTTTACACAGGCAGACAGACGGACAGGCGGACATAGCTAAATCGACTCAGAATTTCATAAGGATCAAGAATATATATACTTTGTTGGGTCTCAGATGAATATTTCTTGGTGTTACACACGGAATGACAAAGTTATATATACCCTCTATCACCACTGTTGGTGGTGGAAGGTATAAAAACTAATTTTCCGGGAATATGTACATTTGTATGGGAAATTGTAGACCGATTCTGCCAATTTTCAGCAAGAATAAAGCACTTGTATAGAAACAAATGTGTGATGATTTTCATGGAGTTATATTGCACAGTTTTTGTGAAAATTACATTAGAATATGTAAATATAGCTTAATTTTTTCGGAGTTTTTTTTTTTCAATTTTGATTCACAACTTTTTCCGATGTGAACCGATTTTGATCGTTTTCAATACCAAAGTGCCTATTGCAACAGTAGATATTTTGGGTGAATTTCGTTAATTTTTGTTCCTTCGTGTTAGCGTGAGAATGTTTTATACAGACAGACGGACGGACATAGCCAGATCGACTCAGAATATCATAAGGTCCAAGAATATATATACTTTGTTGGGTCTTAGATGAATGTTTCTGGGTGTTACACACGAAATGACAAAGTTATATACATATACCCTCTATCACCACTGATTGTGGTGGAGGGTATAAAAACGAGTAAGCTCAGTGGAAATTTCTCTAAATAATTTAGGCAAAATGGGTGGTTTTTAAGCCAGTGGAAATACTTATAACATTAAACTATCTACAAATATTCGTATAATACTACAAACATTCTATAAATATTCTTACTTATTCTTCTAGAAAACTATTTGAACGCGAAACTTTTTTATTAAGTACATGGATGGCTAATTTCAAGGGAAAGGTGTGGAAAAATAAGTGACTTTCCTTTAAATAGATAACATTAAACAATAAGGTTAAAATTAAAAACGTCCTTTAGAGTAAAAAGTAATAAATAAAATAAGATCAATCCATATCATCAGTTAAAATGAGTCGAATGTTGCTACTGATGACAATATGTTTTCTCTTTCACGTTAACATAATACAGAAAACATATGCTTCTTTTTCCGCTTCTTCGTCTTCAATATCATCTTCGTCGACATCATATAAATATCAAATAAACTCAGCATCTAGTGAGAACGACGATGATTATCTCTCACAGAAAGGTAATGTATAATGAACTATTATTATTTATATATTTTATGGCGTTTATTTCTCTAACTAGATTAGGCTGTGTTTTAGTAGATTATTATTTAAACATATGCGAAGTGTGGACATTATTAGGCAAGCACCTGGACAAATTCTATCATCAAATTTTCGATCGCTTGATCACTTGATTTTATATACAAATCGACTAATGTTAACAAATTGCGTGAATGAATCTCTAACATCAATCGAATTTTATTGAAAATAGTAAACGCCATAAATTATAGAGTAAATTACAAAAGTATTTGTTATGCATGTATATAACTTATATTGTTCTCTTTATGATAGAAAATGTTTTGGAAAAATCGTATCACGGTCTAATACGTGAAAATGAAACATCAGTGGAAATCACGCCACTGATTAAAGTGGACGAGGAGAAAATTTGCAATTTCCATATTATTAAGAAACCATATCATGAAATACCATTCCAAATTGAATTAATAAACAATTTGGGCATTTTAAAGGCACGTCGCACTTTAAATTGCGAGAAGCGCAAAAGCTATCATTTTGAAATTGTAGCGGTATTCTGCGATGGCACTCATTCGGCCGCTGCCAATGTCCACATCGCAGTTATTGATGTTAATGAATATGCTCCCACATTTTTGCAGCCGTCCTATGTGTGCGAAGCCGACGAAGGTCGCTTATATAAGGAGATCATACGAGTTGAGGCCATTGATAAGGATTGTACACCCCTGTATGGTGATGTGTGCAAATATGAATTACTCAACAAAGATCAACCATTTACTATAGACAACGAGGGTTCGATCAAGAATACCGAACCGTTGTCGCACAAAGTGTCTCACAACTATATACTATCGGTGGTCGCTTACGATTGCGCTATGAAACAATCATCGCCCATTATGGTAAGCATAAAAGTGCGGCGTGTTTGTGAAGCGAAATTTTTGGGTATTCCAGCGAGAATCGATTACACGGTATGGAGTATTAAATTTAAGTCAATTTGAATGCAATTGTATATATTATTATGTAATTCTTTCAGACTTCATCCACGGAAAGTTTATCACTGTTTCCAAATGCTCATTTGGAATTGTGTGACATGTACTGTGACAGTCAAAATCTAAATATACATACATCAATTTCCCTTAAAGTAAGTACGTGCATGAAAAATTACATCTATTACAACACCCTGTAACAATATTGAAAAAAATGCTTTCACACATAGAAAAATTGATATGTATGTGAAACTAGAGTCAATTTATAGCAATTCAGCATACTCCGATTTTTCTAATCGGCTCTTATGTCTTTATAAAAGGACTTCAAACTTTAAATGACTTACAATTTCAAACGATGCAAAAAAAAATTCAAGTCGAATATTAGTCCAATAGATTTATTAATTAATGAAATATGTGCGTTTAAGTGATTTTCGGAAGTGGACTTTATATAGGAACTATGACCAATTACGGGCCTCTATAGAAAAATTTTGTAGAGTGATTCATATGTATGTACACAAAATATATTTGTGTCGAATTTTATGAAGATAGCATTATTTGACAATGAAATATGTGAGTTTAAACGATTTTCGGAAGAGGGTCTTATATGGGAGCTATGACCAATAATTGACCGATCCGGGGAAAAATTGGTAGAATGATTTATATGTACACAAAACATATTCAAGTTGATTTTTTTAGCGATAGCTTTATTTATCAATGAAATATATGCGTTTAAGTGATTTTCGGAAGTGGACCTTATATGGGAGTTATGACCAATTATGGTCCTATCCGAAAAAAATTTCGTAGGACCATAATTGGTCATACGAAATTTCATATATTTCATATATAGACGAGTTATTAACGATAAACTAATTTCCGGGAATATACACCTTTGTATGGGGGCTATGGAAAATATTGGATCAATTGTTATGAGTTGGAACATACTTGATCCGTGGCACAAAAAAAAATGTGTGACAAAATTCATCGAAATATCTTTGGTAGTTTCTGAGAAAACTACTTAAGAATTGGGAAAAAAAGTTTATTTTTTCGATGTAGTCTGAAATTTTTACTCATATCTTTTTATGTCGTGAACCGATTTTACTGATTTTCAATACCAAACTGTACCGGATGATAAATAATGTTTTGGGTGAATTTTCGTGAATTTCTATTGCTTAGTTTTAACGTGAGCGTGTGTTACATAGACAGACAGACGGACATAGCTAAATCGACTCAGAATTTCATAAGGATCAAGAATATATATATGTATATTTTGTTGGGTCTCAGATGAATATTTCTTGGTGTTACAATCGGAATGGCAAAGTTATATATACGCTCTATCACCACTGATGGTGTGGGGGGTGGGTGTGTAAAAACGTCTGATTTTCGAAACAAAAACATGTAACTTTGTAATTCTGATAAATTGAAATAAATAATATTATTTTGAAGCAGAGATTCTCAGCAGCATTTGATATTAATATTAATACCAATTTTTTATATAAATATGGAATTTCATCTTTTTAAATCGTAGGTCCTTTAAACTTTAAGGTCTTTTTACAGAGGTTTAAGAGCTGATTATGAAAAACTGAGTACACAGAGTTAATACTAATGGTCTACAGTTTCTTGTACACATAGATTTTTTCATATGTGAAAATTACTGTTGCACGGTGTAATAAATGTTAAATAATTTTAAAACATCCTATTTTTTGCTGTTAAATGTCACATAATGTTTACAAACGATGTTTTTGTTCGGTATTTTCCGATGTATTAAAGAAAAATAAAAAAATCTTTTACATTTTCGTAAATGTAATGTTTTCAGAAATATAAATCATAAGACATCGTTTTTCAATTCCAATGAATAACAAATTTAAAAAAAATAATTTTTTTAATTTAACAAAAGTCTACAAACGATGGATTTAAATGTTTAATAAAAAATAAATTAATTTCCGAAAGAGTCTTTTTTTGTGTATATAGTAGGAAGATCGATTTTTCGACATTTACCCAAAACCGGTTTTCGAATAGTTGACATTTGAAAAAGAATCGGTTGATATTTTTCATATTCAGAAACATTAACAATAAAAATATCCTTTTAAAAATGATGTGTAAATTTGTTTATAAAACATGTCTGTGGTCAATACTTTAAAAATTTACAAAAGTATTTGATCCCTTTTAGGAGATAAATGGGTAAACATATCGAACTAGTTTTTCATACTAAGTTCATATTTAATATCGAATAGACTAACACAGAATATATAACCAAAAGGAGACCATTTCAAAAATTATTAAACATTTAAATCCATCGTTTGTAGACTTTTGTGAAATTCCAAACATGAAAAAATTAAATTTTTCTTTTAAAAATAATAAATTTTTTGGAATTGAATTGTTATATTTCTTAAAATATAACATTTACAATAATGTAAAAGATTTTTGTATTTTCCTTTAGTATACAAAAAATACCTTTGTAGACTTTAGTGACATAGTGTATGTTCGTTTTCTTTTAAATTTATTTCTTAGACAAAACATATTTCATTTGGTTGCGATCGGGACATAACAAACTGTTCTCAACATTTGACATTAGTGGACCTGTTGCCAAGAAATGCAGAATGGACTCGAGATTTATCGTACGATGAGGGATCTGAGCCTATTTTCCATTTCGATGGATCATCGGGTGTAATCATACCAGATAAATTGATTGCGCGTCATGATTTTTCGCAACGTCCTTTCAGTATTATAACCATATTTAGGCACTTTAGCGGTTTAAGCGGAGATAATAAGCATGTGAAAGAACATATTGTTTGCAGTGCCGATGACCATAAAATGAATCGTCATCATATGGCTCTATTCGTTAGAAATTGCCGTTTAATACTTCTGTTACGAAAGAATTTTAATGAAGGAGATTTGAATATATTTAGCCCAGCCGAATGGCGTTGGAAAATACCTCAAGTTTGCGATAATGAATGGCATCATTATGTATTAAATGTCGATCAAAATTCAAAGGTAGAGCTGTATGTTGATGGTGTACTTTTTGAAAATTCCCTAGAAGATCGTCATAATAATCCCGAAGTTATAGATGATTGGCCTTTGCATGCGGCCCATGGCGTAAATACAACTCTGGCCGTTGGTGCTTGCTATCAGAGTAGCGAAAATCGGTTAAAACATGGATTTAACGGTGACATATCGGAAATAAAAATTTCATTGAACGCCGTGCTAACAAATGAGGACGTTAAATGCGGTACGAATTGTGCGGAACATTTGTTGCCACCTCCTGAGACCCTATTGGAACCAGAGTCACAAGTCCAAACAAATTCACAGTTGAATGAAATCTATATTGAAGGACAGAGCAAGAGCAATGTAGAGCTTTTGCTGCAAAAAATTCAATATATAAACACAAAAGAAAATCCCACAATCGGACGTCGCAATATTGAGGTACGCATCACAATGATGTGCATCAATCAAAGTGCTATTCGCTTGCCCACAATTGAAACCTTTATCATGGTGAATGAACCAACCAGTCCTTTGGTGTTGGCAGCAAATTCTACAGCATTATACGCTGCACATGTGCAAAGACTTGACTCTTCTTACCCAATTAGTATGCAAAGCCCTTCATCTCGCAGAAATACCTCAGAAACGCCTACTACAACATTTATAACCCAAGCGAACGAAAAGTCTCAAGACTCATTGGCTTACAAAGTCCACACCGAGTCCAGTGCTAAATCCAATAAAGGCGAAAATTCCAAAATATTAATAACTGGTAATGAAATACATACATATGTATTTATGTACATCAGAGTTGGGCGTTTGTATAGAGAAATAATATGCTGCCGATATTCCCACCGAAAATGTTATATATAGTTCATTCTAATATACCGTTTCTCAAAACGTTTCTTTAGTAAGTGGTCTCTAAGAGGCGCTTTCAATGGCGTATAGAAATTTTTGCACTAGTTCGAGATTTCCTTAGAATTTTTATGTGATTATTCCCGGTAAAAAACTGGAAACTTTAAATTAACGCATTTTAACATATTTTGGAAAAACTAGAGTTTTTATAATTTATCGGCGATTTTTTTAAAGTAGTCTGTTTAAGAGATTAATTTTATTTAAAATTTATTTAATTTTTCCCATGTCTACATTACTTTAGCAATAGCGAAAGACAACAACAACGCTAAACGAAATAAAACACAAACAAGTGAGAGTGGTATATTCGGCTGTGCCGAATCTTATCTATACCCACCATCAAACCGTATGCCTTAAAAGGAATGATCCCTTATACATACATATTACTCATCAAATTAACTGAAGAGGACCTTATATGAGAGATAGGGTTAATAATTTACCGTTTTACATAAATTTTTTTTAGACCAATTTTGGCTCATACAAAACATCTTTATATAGAATATCACTTCCCGACACTTTCCGCATGAAATTCGGTAGGAAGAAGTACGTTCCTATAAATGTTTCTTATATAAAATTGCATAACTGTTCACGTATTTTTAAGTCAGCAAAAATAATTTTCTTATGGACCGATTCTCAATACATTTGGTAGAAGGTTTTAAGCAGTAATGAGCGTTAAAGTAATTTTTTGAAGGAGACAGTATATGGGGGTAGGGTGAACTATGGACCGATCCACATAAAACTTGACAGAGAGATTTTAGCTACATTGAAACTTAAGTGTGTCGAATTTCATCACTATACTCGTATTTTTAAGCCAGTAATGAGCGTTAATGTAATTTTCTGAAGGGGGCCTTATATGGGGGGTAGGATGATTACGGACCGATCCACATAAAATTTGTTAGGAAGATTTTGGATCATATGAAAATTATTTACGTCGAATTTCATCGCTATACTCGTACTTTTGAAACAGTTATGGCCATAAAAGCTGTTTTTTGGGGGTCTACTTGTACGGGGGCTATCCGAAAACGTGGACCGATTTTGCGTATTTGCAATACCAAACAAACCTTACCTATAGAGAATATTTGTGGAAGATTTCAATCCTCTATCTCGTTCCGTTCGGACTCTATCGTGCTTTCAACAGACAGACGAACGGACGGACGGACAGGCATGGCTAGATCGTCTTAAAATTTAATAAGGACCCAGAATATACATATATACTTTTGTGGGTATATGATCAATATTTCGATGAGTTACAAACGGAATGACAAAATCAATATACCCTCCATCTTTTTTGATGGTAGGTATAAAAAAACCAGTTAGAGTGCTATATTCGGCTGAGCCGAATCTTAAATACCCTCCACCAGCTATTTTTATAGTAATACTTTTTTAATTGATCAAATATTTGTAGAAATAAGTTTTCTCATGTCTTAAATAGAAAAACCCCATGATTAAAACAGCTTAAATCTGTTACAATTACAAGATTTATTGAACAATACAAACCCCATTTCCTTTTATATTTTATAGCGCCCTAAGATATGCTTTAACGATATTTGATAATGTGCATGTATGCATGTGTGTGAAAGATTTAAGGATTTTCAAAATACATAAATATATAATTTTGTTCTATACAAATTGATAATGCAATTAGTTAAATACGGTTAAATTGCTTTTAGGAGCAGGACTTAGTATGGGAGATATGACCAATTATAAACCGATCGTAAAAAATTCTTTAAGCAAAATTTCTGTACATAAAAGCTATATTTCAGTCAAATTTTGTATCTATATCGAAATTTAGTAATAAGTAATGTGTGTTCAAAGATTTTCTGAAGGGACATTTGCATGGGACCGACCGAACCCATGTTATGGACCGATCGTGGAAAAATCTTGAAATAGAATTTTTGTATATCAAACTAATATTTGTGCCAAATTTTGTATCAATAGCTTTATTTGGTAATGAGTAATGTGCGTTTAAGAGATTTTCGTAAAGGCTATGACCAATTATGTATATAAAGACAAAATTTCAAAATTCTGTATCTATATCATTATTTGGCAATGAATATTGTGCATTAAAGTGATATTCTGGATGAAACCTAGTATGAGAGCTATGATAATATGGACCGATCGCAAAACAACTTTATAGTGTAATTTATGTATATAAGAGCAATATTGTGCTAAATGTATGGATATCAAAATTTTGTAATGAGTTATGTGCGTTTAAGTGATTATCGGAAGGGGGTCCTTGTATGGGAGCTATAACCAATTATGGACCGATCGGAAAAAAATTTCACAGTAATATTTCTGTGCACATGAGCAACACTTGTACCAAATTTTATATGGATACCTTAATTTAGTAATGAGTTATGCGCGTTTAAGTGATTTCGGGAGGGGACCTTTATGGGAGCTATGTCCAATTATGGAGCGATCCAGAAAATTTTTTCTCTCAATGAATTATATTGGCTTAAGATTTTGAGTTGTAAGATTTGTGAAGATATCAACATTCTGACGGAAGTTATTAACAAAAAACTAATTTCCGGGATATGTACTTTTGTATGGGAGGTATATGAAATTATGGACCGATTTTGATAATTTTCGGCAGGAATCAAGATATTGTGTAGAAACGAATGTATGATGACTTTCATGAAATTATCTTGCATAAATTACATTAGAATGTGTAAAAAAATTACATTAGGATGTGTAAAAAATGCTAATTTTTTCGGAGTTGTTTTAAATTCTGATTCATAACTTTTCTCGATGTGATCCGATTTTGCTCATTTTCAATACCAAACTGTACCGGATAATAATGAATATTTTGGGTGAATTTGGTTAAATGATATTGCTTCGTTTTAACGTGAGCGTGTTTTACACCGACAGACGGACATAGCTAAATCGACTCAGAATTTCATAAGGACCCAGAATATATATACTTTGTTGGGTCTCAGATGATATTTCTTGGTGTTACACACGGAATGACAAATTTTATATACCCTCTATCACCACTGATGGTGGTGGAGGGTATAATCAAAATGAATTATATACACAGAACATACTCATGTCGTTTTAATAATAAATTATGTGGCATTAAGTGGTTTTCAGAAGTGAACCTTATATGGGAGCTTTGACCAATTATGGACCGATCAGAAAAAAAAATTAATATTAAAAATTAATTATACACATCATTCCGATTTGTTTCCCGATAGCTTTATTTATCAATGAATTATGCGCATTTGAGTGATTTTAGGATGTGGACCTTATATGGGAGCTAGTACCAATTGTGAACTGATCCGGAAAAAATTTCACTGAATGATTTATATTATATACAGAACATATTCACCTCGAGTTCTACCCTGACAACTTTATTAATCAATGAATTATGCGCATTTGAATGATTTTCGGATGTGGACCTTATATGGGAGCTATGACCAATTATGGACCGACCCGGAAAAAATTCGTAGAATGATTTATGTATATACAAAACATATTCATGTCGAATTTTATCCAAAATAATTAATCTATATTTTAATTTTATTTACGTAGTCTGAAATTTTTACTCATAACTTTTTACGTTGTGAACCGTATATTCCCCACCACTAATGGTGGTGGAGGGTATAAAAAAATACACAAAAGAACGAAACCAACTTGCTTTTTATCAAAGCTTGCAAAGAAAAAAAAACCAAAGTACAACCACACATACGCAGGCCTGCCAGATTTGTCGATATATTGCCGATTTTTAAAATGTAAGTGCCGATAAATGCCAATTTTTTGGGAAAAAATTTCCGATATTTCTATGAATTTATCCTGCACATGTTATTTTTGGGTTTTTGTCCAAAGCTTGCTCCTCCCAAACACCAAAATCAACAAAATGCACTCGTTTAAGTAATTTTTTGAAGGGCACCTTATATGGGGAGTAGGGTCAATTATGGACCGATCAACATATGCGTGTTAAATTTTATCCCTATACTCGTATTTTTAAGCCAGTAATGAGCGAGTTAAAGTCATTTTCTGAAGGGGACCTTATATGGGGGGTAGGATCAATTATGGACCGATCAACATAAAATTTAGTAGAGAGGTTTCGGATAATAAGAGACATATTTGTGTCGAATTTCATCGCTATACTCGTAGATATGCCTATTAAAACTGTTTTCGGGGGTTCACTTGTATGGGGGCTATCCGAAAATGTGGCCCAGAGTATTTCTGGAAAATTTCAATCCTCTATCTCGTTCCATTCGAACTCCATCGTGCTTTCAACAGACGGACGGGCAGACATGGCTAGATCGTCTTAGAATTCAATAACAACCCAGAATATATATACTTTTGTGGCCAATGAGCAATATTTTGATGTGTTACAAACGGAATGACAAAATCAATATACCCCCATCTTTTTTGATGGTGGGTATAAAACAAGAGAATAATTTACAAAAACAACCTACACCCTAAATAATTGGCCTCCGGTAGGTTATTGGTTAGTTTTCTAGTATGGTAGACCGGAGGTGGTGGGTTCGATTCCCACCTGCGGCACTGGTTAACGAGCGCACAACAGGCCCAATAGAGGCCTAGGTGCATTTCTTCAGATTTGATGTATATATGTACATCATCCTTTGAAACTAACTAACTAGTTAGATACTAACAAACTAAATATATTTCTAGAATGCATAACAATAAAAGTAAATAAGATCATGCTTATTTAATACTTTTTTGTACATTTTAACTTGTACATGTTGTTCTATGTGAAGAAATTATCATGCTTATGTCCATTGATTATATTTTGCTTATAAATATTTTCATTTTATAGTAGTGCAATTTTCAAATTCTTTAAAATTGAAAATAGCCAAATATTTTTTTCAGTGCGATTTCATTGAAAAAATAACAATAGTGTGTGTGTAGTGGTGATTTTTTATCTGCCCCTCTATACGCCGGTATATGCTTTAAGCATATAAACCCGAAAAAAATAAAATTTTGAGTTGAGTCACTTTTAAACTGGG